TYMWTTYYTKRGRWTTTWTTTATTTATTTTTATTAGTTACAACACATGACAGTACAATGATCTTGACATTTCATATATTTGAATGAAATGGGGTATAATTTCTCATTTTTCTGATTGTACAGGTTGCAGAATCACATTGGTCATATAGTCACATATATACATACAGCAATAATAATGTCTATTTTATTTTTTTTTTAATAAACTTAAATTGGGCTGGTGAGATCTGGAAGGAACATGAGGGGTGGGAAATGTCTTTTTGTTGTTGTTGTTCTTATTGTGCTGGGSATCAAACCTGGGGCCTCACACAGGCTAGGCTGACACTCTACAACTAAGCTACACCACCAGCCTGAAATGACTGGTTTGGTATTTTTTTKGGGGGGGTCAGGGCAGTATTGGAGATTAAACCCAGGGCTTCATACATGGTAAGCAAGCACTGAACTATATCCCCAGCCCTTTTATTTTATTTAATTTCAAGTTAGGGTTTCAAAATAAAAGGGSTTGAACTTGCAATCCTCCTGCCTCACTCAGCCTCCCAAGTAATGAGATTACAGTCATAAGTTACTGAGTTTGGCTTAAAATGGCTGATTTTTACTAAAACAAAACCACTTACCTAGTGGGATGTCATTGCTGGCTTGCTTTGCATCATCCTGTAATGTAATATACACAGGTCACATGGCTATCACCTGCTGGGTGACTCTTAGCTGGTCCAGAGCAATAAAAGAAATGATRGAAATCCACAGTGCAAATGTAATATGTCACTATTTTCATTTCCCCAGCAAAATCATCGCATCAGAGTAACAGAAAAAGGATCCCCCAGTCTCCAGAGGCACTAACTCAGAAACACCCCTCAGCGAAAACAGAACTGGTGTCTCTAAGCTATTCCTAGAGCTAGTTCCTTAGATAGTACAGGCACCATCAAGGGCCTGGCTCCTGCAGTGTGTGGAGGAAGCCTCCGWGTACATGTTTCAGGAGATTTCCAAGGCAATACTCTCTGCCAACCCAGAGAACAACCCTGGCGGGCYACTCTGTTCTCCATATGAGACTCACATGTGAGTGGGCCCACCTTGAACGGGACTTAAGGGTTCAGGTCAGACTGAACTACTCTGCCCCAGGCCTTCTCACCTGCCTCTCCTGAAGCTCTTCCTCTGGAAGCAATACCCTTCAGCCTTCAATCTTTGGGTCTCCAAGGCTCAGCATAAATACCACCAGCTCTGAGGCTTTTCTGACCCTCTAAGACAAAAGTGTCCTTACCTGTAACCCCTGCTGACTGCCTTTATTCCCTTTATCTTAGAATTATTTGGAGATGAAACCCTTAGCCTGCTTACCTCTCCCCAGACCTGAAAACCATGGGCCACACCTTCTTTCCTAAAGCTTGCGCTTCCTCTTTCTCCTAAGATATCCTCTCCAGGTTTTCCTCTAGCTTCCCTGAGCCTCTTTCTCACTCTTCTTTGCTAGGTTTTTGCAACTTTTAAACACTGATATGACCCTGAAACACTTCTTCCTCTTTCTTCATCCCATAATGTGTTGCTGATTCCCAACTTTCTGGTTCAAACCCACCTCTTTGCTTAACTCTAGTCCCATGTCCCAGCAGCTACTCTGATGCCTAATGGTTGCCTCAAACCTCAGGCCTCCTCCCAGGGGACTTCCCTCTAACAATCTGAAGTAGTCCGTAATTTTTTCTACTATAGTACACTGGCCAATGCATTTTTTTATCTTCTGATATTTTCCTGATTTGCTAACTGTCYACTGCTTTTACTAGAACACAGGCTCCATCAGGCAGGGATCTTGTCTATCATGGCTGTATCTGCTATGCTTGAAACAGTAAGTACACGATAAACTTTTTGTTGAATGAAAGGACAAATGAATGTTTTTGTACTCTCTCATGCTAATAGCAAGTCAATGCTTCCATTGCCCCAGGCTTTAGACTTCAATTTCACTTATTACTTCTCATATCCAATCCATTAGCAAATCCTATGGCTTTCCCTTCAAAATATATTTAGGATCTGACCAATTCTCAAGATTCCTATTGCTTCCACATTGCTTATCCTCTTGTCTATATTAGTGCCATCTTCTAGTCTACTCTCTGTAAGGCTCTACAAGTGATCCTGGTAAAATTAAGGTGCATCATTCCAATCTTCTGCTTCAAACTCTCCAACAGGTCTCTATTACATTCAGCGGAAAATTGAGGCCAATAAGCCCTAATCACAGGCCTTTCCCCAACCATCCTTCTCCTCTTTAGCTTTACTTCCTCTGAATGTCCTGTTCAGCTACACCGCTCCAACATACTACTGCCTTAAATGGGTTGCACTTACTGTTCCCTCTGGCTGGGATGTTTGCCTCCCCAGTATTCTCATGGCTCATTGTCTTGTTTCTTCGAGGTCTTTACTCGAATGYCACCTCTTCACTGAGGCCTTTCCAGACCACCCTAATTAAAACTGCAACCTCTGGTGCTCTCTCTTCCTTTGGGCTTTACTTTCTCCAGATACCATATTATACATTCTATATTACTTATTTTTTTTTTTTTTTTGCCTGTCTCCCTCCAGTAGACTATAAACACCACAGCATTCGGATTTTTTTTGTTGTTGTTTACTACTTTGTGCCCTGGTCTAGCCAGTGCAGCACAGCACCTTCCCAATAAGTTTGCTGGATAAGTGAGTGAATGAAAGAAAGAAAGAAACTGCATTATCTTGCAGTGCTGTAGGTGCTAGCTCAACAGAACCAGGTGGGTTCCATCGTTCTGGCATGTGCAGTACCTGCAAACAATGAGCTAAATAAATAAATCCTGAAGGACCAAACGGGAAACGCTGTTTCCTCAGACGTGTTGGGGTTACTAGAGGCAATGGGCCATGCAACGTTCCAAATTGGTAGTAAAGAACTTGCCAGAATCGGTCTTTACTGTCCACTTGAGAGGGCCAGAATGCCCACATTTCCCTTGGGACAAGAATTTGAGCCCGAGGACTGGAAAACRAACGCGGAAAAGCTGGTGGTCTCAAAGCAGTGAGTCTAGCCTGCTACCCCTGAGCCCGCGCAGCMGGGGTCACACCCGGCGCCACTGCACCTCTGCAGTCCCGGGCCCGGTGATCGGCCAACCAGCCTCCATCCGCAGCGACCCTTCGCAGCCCCGCGGCCGGCCAATGGGCTCCCGGCCTCCTGACGTCACCCAGCTGCGGGAGGAAACGCCCCTTCCGTCCGGCCCTTCCCGGCTCACCGGGACCCTCCAAGCGGTGTCCGAACCCTTGGAGTCAGGGTAGAGCTTGTCCAAGCTGTAGATGCTCTGGAACTCGGTGCCGTCTACCTGCTTGTGTAGAGTCCGGCACRGGAAGCGCGCGGGCGGCGGGAGCAGCCAGGCTCCAGTTCGGCTCAGGGCCCAGCGCAGGACCCAGGCGGTCGCCATGTTCGGCCTCTGGGCAGCTTCCGGCGTGCGCGCTCTCCTCGCGGTCCGCAAGATTGCGCTGCTCTTCGGATTTAAGGTTCCGCGCAGCSTCGAGGACCCGCCTCCCGGAGGCGACGAACTGTGTACCCGGCTGTGCTTCTGAGGAGGCCTGGTTGACACGGAGCAGATGTCGGCCAGACCCCGCAAACAGACCAAAAAAAAAAAAAAAATACCCACAACCGGATTCGTGTGGTTCCCCAGAAACCACTTGTCTCCCTTTCTGTGTCGGTATCTTGAGGTCGAATGAAACGCACCAGTGAGGTTTCCCCGCACCGCCTGGGTCACCGCCCACCGCCGGCCGCGCGCCCCGCATCCCTCTATTCTGCTCTGACTTATCTTTTTTTTTTTTTTTTTTTTTTTTTTAATCACCAAGTCTTATTTTTCTAATTTAACTGCCTGTCTGTTGCCAGAAGGTAAGCTCCAGGAGGGTGCTGGCTCCCTGCTGTATTCCCAGCACCCAGAACATGGCACAGGGGGGGCACTCCACCGAGGAGGATCAAGTGAATTCTGTAGGAATGTGTGTGTTTGTTTTAAATATTTTATTAGTTGTTGATGGACCTTTATTTATTTATATGCGGTACTGAGGATTGAACCCAGTGCCTCACACATCTACCACTGAGCCACAACCCCAGCCCCAAGGGAATGTGTGTTTGAAGTTGAGTTTAGGTAGAGCTGAGCTTTAGGACTTCAGGTCTTCCCACAAGGCAGCCAATAAGTCATCCTCCCCGAGCCTACGTGTGTGCATAGTACTGGCTTATCCCAGGAATGGGAGGCAGGTCATGGAACAAATATTCCCAAAACGTGGACTGGTCCACACCCTCCAGCTTTACGGAGAATAATGGGGGTTTCTTCCAGTTAGAAGATAAGGGGATGGTAGAAGAGTAGAGGGAGATGGCAGGCCAAGCAGAGTCCTGTTGACACAGGACTCCGGAACTCAGAGATTCTGATTCTGAAACAGGTTGGAAATAGAGACAGCAGTATTTGAAAACAGCTAACCCTTACTTAAGTGACTTAGTGGAGAGGCAGTGTGTAAAGGAAAACAGAGCTCCATAAATGTAATTATTAGTAGTACTTGTGGCGGTTTCTTAATGAAGAGTTCTATTTTTAGGAAAARGCATAATCACCTAGAAAAATATGCCTCTGGGATATTTTAAATATCTCCTGGGGATGTTGACCATTGAAACAGGAGACTGTCTTCTAATCAAGCCAGTACCATCTCAGCATCATCAGAATACACCATTTTCCAACCCTGGCTTTGTATAYTCCGACTAGGAAGGGTTGGCAATTGACTGCTCCTCTTGGGCAYGAGGTAGGAAGGAGAGTCTCCTGGGTCCCTCCTTGTCTGACTTAGTCCCAAGACCCCAGAAGGAACATAAATGTCTCCATGGTAACTAGAATAAGCTGCTTGGGGGAGCAGAGCCAGGCGCTCAGGTCTAGGTAGAGGATGGTGAGTAATAAAGCTGGAGCTGTTTCAAGACAGCCTTTGTTCTCAGGCTGGACTCCAGCCTCTACCTGACTCAGAGCCATAGGAAAAGGAAACTGCAGGTTTCCATGGCCCCAAATAAACACAGCCTGCTCAGGCCATCTGGTGGCCTGGATTCTAGGAGAAGTGAAGGGAGAGAGAAGAATGAAACAAGCTGCCCTGGGGCTCAGGGGAAGCAGCTGGCAAGCTCCTTTCACCTGCTGCCACAGGGAACCATCCAGAATGAGGCCCTTTTGGAGAAAATGGGCCAAGAATGAGGAAGAAGAAATAAGGATAGGTAGAAAGGAGACCATCAGAAAAGGGGGGAAAAATCCCCACCTGGGTGTGGTTGCAAATGTCGGTAACCTCAGCTWTTGGGAGGCTCAGGCAGGAGGATAAGGCAGTTTGAAGCCAGCCTCYGCAACTTRGACCATGTGTCMAAACTTTAAAGGCAGTTGGTGGTATAGYTCAGTGGCAGAGTGTCCCTCGGTTTTCAATCCTTAGTACCACAGAAAAAAAGAAAAGAAACCGTAACTTTAAGAAACTCCATGAACACCCTCATCTTTGCTCCCCAGGCCGGTTTTCCTCCAGACCTAAATTCCTAAAAGGCCCCTGGATCTTAAGAGTACTGTGAGTCCAGTTAATTAATGCCAATATACATTGCTTGCTTACACAACATTTTCTTTAGCCAAGGGAGAAATAATGGGTATGTTTCAAATGTTATCTATTAACTAGATAATGTCAACCTAGAGATCCTGAAAAGAACCTGATCACCAGGACCTACCCTGTGCTCTCACCAGACATACCTCTTCTCTTTACTCTTTACAAAATTTCCTTTAAAAAAAAGTGGGGCTGGGGTTGTAGCTCAATGGTAGAGAGCTTGCCTAGCGTGTGTGAGGCCCTGAGTTTGATCTTCAGCACCACATAAAGATAAATAAATAAAATAAAGGTATTGTGTCCATCTACAACTTCACAAAATATTTTTTAAAAGAGTGCTGCAGAGTGCAGTGGCACACACCTGTAATCCCAGTGACTCAGAAGAATCACAAGTTCAAAGCCAGCCTCAGCAACTTATTGAGACCCTGTCTTACAATAAAAAATAAAAAGGGCTRGGGAGGTGGTAAAGCACCCCTGRGTTTAATCCCCAGTACCACACTCTGTGCCTTTGAGTGTGCTTTCCTGAATAAATTTGTGATTGTGCCTTTTCTAATGTATCCTGAATTTTTTTTTCTGCAAAGTATGTCAAGAGCCTGCAGGGACCAAGTTGAGGTCTCCTCTCTTCTGGGCGAACTTCTCAGACTTCTATTTGGTGACAAGAGGGAACACCGGTTTCCYAAGAAAAGCAGGTGCTGAAAGCTGAGATCCGTGTTCTTCCCCTTCTTGATCCTCCATGGGTTGGGATGGCGCTTCAGGAAGTGGGCATTCACGGGGGAGAAAGGAAAAAGCCTCCTCACCAAGCTATTCCTGGCAGCTGAGGAGCTTGCACATACCAGCCCTACTTCATGGCAGGGTACATTCTCACACAAGGGGTCCGCGAGATTTTCCTTTCTTCTCTGGAGTGCCCTGGGTCAGATGGCCTCTTAGATTTATCTCATCATTGTGTGGACCCACGGACACGCAGCGAAGCACGGTGGAATCGGTCAGGCCTGAGATGGATTATTTCTCTGTGACTTTGAATAGCTACCTTCACCTCTAAGCCTCCATATCCACATCAGTAAATTAGAGGTTTTATAGCTGCCTCCTAAAGGTCCTGATGRTATTAAACACATGCAAAGCACTTCATACCACGCCTGTCCCAAAGCCAGTATGTATCAAATTAGCGGCTACTCAGGGATATTTGTGCCCATGGCAGAGACCTGATGACTGTTAGCTTTTTTCCTCTGCAGCCCTGGGGTAGAAAATCCAGCTCCACTGGAYCCTTTTTCTTTCTTCCCTGAGGGGATGGACAGCACACAGCACGAGTGAGTGGGCAGAACTGCTGCCTTCTTTCTGGAAGCTACTTCCTTTGCCACTACCACTTGGCTCCCTGGTCCCTGAAAACAGCCSGGATTTGCAGGCAGGGCTGAGGCAGGGCTGGCTGGCTGATTTCCTCACCGCAGTGGTTCAGTGCATTTGGGTTGGCAGTGGGAAGATTGCCCGTTCAGGGAAGAAGAGAGCCTGAGAAACGTGACACGGTGTCATGATGGTGAAAAGGCCACCATGAGATTTTTTTTTTTTTTTTTTTGTACTGGGGTTGAACTCAGGCAATGCAGGCCCCCAGGTGGGGAAAGAGGGGAAAAGACAGGTTAAAAGCCAAAGAGAGAAGATAGCTGGATACAGGCCTCGAACAGCTTCTTTTGCTTCCCACATGATTGCTCTTTGTGTGAGCTATAATGTGCCCTCATGCCATTGAAGACWGGTGACAACAGGATGGGAAATCCTAGAGCCCCTGCAGGCTGCCTATGTAAACCATCCATGCTGTTCAACTGATGTAGRCACCAGTTGGGGACCCAGCTCTGGGCTCCCTTACCATACCTTCCTCCCTCCTTAAGGGCAGGGAGCAAAAGCTTGCTCTTTACCCACGGCCCCTGCTGGTCCCTGTGTCTACTCCCAAAGAAGACTTTGGAAGCTTTTCCACAGATGCAGGTCRTGGGCCACAGAGCTGCATTTTTTCTCTATTTGAAAATGGGAGAGTGGAGAAGATGGCAAGAAAATGAACCCTAAAATGCCCAGTACATTTTCTTCTCCAATTCTGGAGTCACCCAGGCCACAGACAGTACTGGATTGCAAGAGGGACCAGCAGGATCTGCAGGGCAGGAGGCAATCTACCGTGTGTGGGGGTGCAAGGTGGCTGGGTGGCGTACATAGCATGAGGTGACAGCAGATTTCCCAAGGTGCTCCTCTTACCCAAACCTACAGGTATGTTTCCAGGCCTCAGATATCTGAGTTTGGGCAGCAATTCTCAAGTTCCAGGAGGTCATTACCAGATTTGAAGAGGACAGTGTGGGCATGGGAACTTCTAAAAAGGACACGTGCTATCACTGTGCATTGAGGAAAGAGAAACCCATGGACTGTGGACTGACTACACTTTCCACACTGGAGCACATCGGTTGAGTGTGAGTCCCCTGGGTGACCAACTCTCCTGCCTACTGTCCTCCCCTCTCCAAAACATGGTGAAGAGACAGGTCTTTGGGAATAGCTGGAAGCTGTGAGGTATTTCTGTGTACATGGAAGAGAGTGAGTGGTTGATAGGTTTGGAAATACCTAGAGAGGGTCCTGTTGTAATTCTTGCAACTCTCCTCTATTCCAAGTGGCTCCCCCAGGGCTGGTCTGTTTATTCCTCTTTCATGGTCCCTTGGGGCTCAGCCTCTGTCCTGGGCTCCTTCACTTTTCCTCTCTATCATTCGACTTCCATGCAGTGGAAGCCTTAAAACTACAGATGACACCCGTCAACCTTGCAATCACTTTTCCTTGCACTTAGGAGGTGCAAGCCTCCTGCCCCCAGTTTTCCATCACCCTTTCTTTGGTTTATTTTAGCTGACTTTG